GCGGGCGGCGGGCACTTGGGCTGCTGACGCGTAGCTAGCCGCTCTCAGGCCTGTCACTCTGAGGAGGAAGGGCGCCACCCCCCCGGCGCCTCGCTGGCCCTGCGTTTCCGTTCCATCCCAAGAGGGGCCATCGCAGACCTTTGAGATGTCATTGCCTGTGATGTGATTAAGCGCTGGGCGTTGAGCGCGCGGTCGGTCGCCCTTGGTTTTGGACCTTTGCAGGCCCGCCTGGAGTAAGCGCCAATTCTTCTGCAGAATGAAAGGCCTCAGGCGCGGGCGGTGGATCTTTCGCGGGCGGCAGTCTTGCCGCTGGCCAGGGCGGGGCGCGAGTTGCCCTGTGCAGATGGCATCGAGCACCCCGTGCTCGGGGGCTCCACGGCCTTTGGCCATGCAGGCGTCGGACATGCATGCCCTCGCTCGTTTTCGGGCCGCCTGGGTCTCGCCATTCTAGTGCGCGCCAGAAGATGGGCACCTGGGTCAGGAGTTCTCAGACAGTTGGTCCAAGCATCGAGCCAGGGCGGTCACGTGCTTGGGGTGGTGGTGGTGGTGGTGATGGGGGGGGGGGGGCGATTGCCCCCGCGCTCCAATGCGCGCGCGCCGAGGCGCGCGCGGACGAGCGCGCGCTGCGCGGCGCGCGCATGATTGCCCCAGGCGAGCGCCGTTAATGTGGGAGTAGCGCGCAGTCAGGCGAGGAGGCAGGATATTTGAAGGCCATATGTCTCTTTGACCCTTTTTTGTCCGTCCCCCTGCGCGGCGGCCCCTGCGTAAAATCGTACTCGGTGTGTTGGTGCTCCCTGGTCTGGTTGGAGGTTGCGGCTGCGCGTTCGTGCACGGTTCGGGGCTTCATTCGGATTTGCAAGAGTTCCAGCTCGCGGGGTGGTCTGCGCTTCAGATGGACCGCGCTGGCAGTGTCATCGGCGCCACGCACTGCTTAGCTCCACGTCGCTCTGCCCCAGGACAGAGGACTGGGCTTTCCAGAATGTTTGCTTCCTTCAGTGAGTGGTCGGATGATCATCGTGTAGTAGCGTGCGCCGACTGGTCAGGCACCCTCAAGTTCGCTAGAGACTCTAGCGCAGCCCCTGGGGGCAGGCACCCCGAGGAGGCACGCGTGGCGAGACTGGTGGCAAGCCATAGACAACAAAGCTTGCGTCTACAATGTTGATCTCACATGAGTTTAGATTCCGCCGCCTCCGACCACGACGACAGGCTGAGCAAAGGCAATGCGATGGCCGACACATGGGCCACAGAGGAGCCAGGCTTGGGGACGTTTCAAAGGATCATATGTTTTTTCTTCGGGCAGTGAAAGCATCGTCGCCGACGTTGCAAGCCGGCGAAGCAAGCGCCCGAGTGTCTCCGGATAATTGGAGCAACCTGATTCACAGGGGTCTGCCAGCACGGGGGAGGTCGTTTTGGGCGTGGACCTTCCCGGGGGGCCTAAATCAAACCAGTCTGGAGGGAGGAGAAGCGCCTTTCGGGGGCTGGTCCACAGCTGCGGGGGCTGAGACTGCCCCTCCTGCTCCGAGCCCTCCCCGCCCTGCCTCGAACCCTGAGCCTTTTGGTGGCGTAGATGATTCCTTTTGTTTCTGCCATGGGTGTCCCGTTGGAATTCCGGGGGCGCTCCACTGCGCGAGACATTGTGTCGGGCCCAGGCCAGGGCGTCCCCGACTTTTTTATATAGAAATAACTTATATACATATATATATATATACATATAGAAATATATAAAGCTTGCGGGGCATAGGTGCACGCCCGCGCGAGGGGCTTCCAAGGAGGGTTCAAGGGTGCGACGCACCAAGGTCTCAGCACCGATCGCTCCAAGTTGCGCGGAGTTCTGTTCATGCGCATGTCAAAATGAAAGTTAGTTAGGCCTTTGGACCGCCCCTGGTCAGACGTGCTGTTCGGGGGACTTTGCTTGAGCCCAGGCTGGCGGCAGCCGCGGCTGATTCCTTGAACCCCAGCTGCGGGTCTGCGGGGGCCAGGTTTCGACTGAGGCTAGCGAAGGGCCCGCGGCGGGGAAAGGGGGGCAGCAGGCGGGGTCACGCTTGCTGCGCCTCCTGCGGCTGGAAGGCGCTGCTGTGGCCAAGTTGGATGATTTTGTCTCCCCTGATGATTTCGCGAGGTGGGAAAGCGCCCGCCAAACGATTCAAGTGGAGGCTTCCGGGCTCGGCCCCGGCCTCCAGAAGGGCCCCGCCCTTGGCCAAGAATGTAATAACATCCTTGTGTGGCTTGCGCGAAATGTTTTTGAACATATCTGGCTGAAATCGTTTTGATCCAGCACATCGGGGTCATGTCCTAAAAACATTGTTTCTGTCATTCGAACATGTTTGGGTTTGAAAGAGCGCGTTCTACCGCTGCTGGCGGAAAACCGGGGTGCGGGTCACTACCGGTTCGAACCCCCCCCCCCCCTGCGGAAAACCAAAAGGGGGGTCACTACCGGTTCGAACCCCTCCCCCCCCAGCTCATCATGAAAATGGGGAGGGGGGGTCCCTACCGGTTCGACCCCCCCCCCCTTCGAAAACCGTGGGTGGTCACTACCGGTTCGAACCCCCCCCCCCCCTCCTCGAAAACCCAGGGGGGGTGCGGACAGTGGTGGGGACGGTGGTGTTGGGGACAGTGGTGAAGGGACAGCTGGACAGTGGTGGGGACAGTGGGACAGTGGTGGGCACTGTAGTGGTGGGACAGTGGTGAGGACAATGGTGGGAACAGTGGGGACAGTGGACAGTGGCGGGGACGGTGGTGGTGAGGACAGTGGTGTGGGGACAGGGGGAGGTGGAAACAGTGGGACAGTGGAGGGTACAGTGGTGGTGGGGACAGTGGTGAAGGCGCTGGCGAGGACGGCGGTGGGTCGGAGGGGGGGGGACCCCCGGGTTCTGGAGGAAAACGGGGGCAATTTTCCACAGTAAAGCGGCGGTGGATCACGCTCTCTCTTTGGTTTTGAGAACGTGTCCAAGTAAGTTTATAAAATTGCCAATACGGTTGGTCTCTGCTCAAAAGGACGAGCGGACAAAGGGGGTCCGTTGGGATGTGTTGCGAAGGAGGGTTCACGATCTTCGTCGCATGCCCCCGGTCCCCCGATTGCCCCCCGCTCACACACACTTGGCCGCTCAGACGGGGGGGGAGCTCTGGGATGCGCATTCCTGGGGGAGTTATTTCGGTTGCGAATCTTTTGAGCCTGGTATACTTGTCACAATTCAGTTTTTCAGTGCCCTCTTGTCGATTTGCGTCTGGTAGTCGATGAGATAGTGCCAATTTATCGCCGATGCGGTTCGATTTGGGGACTAGTCACGTCATTTCGCATCCACTCGCAAGAACCAACAACATGGTATTGGAGGCTCCCGTGAGGTGCTTCCACAATAGAGGGCGGGCGCCCCCGTCGTTTGTCCGTGGGTTGGGCCCCAACCTGATTGTCCTTTACAAGGTCCCATCAAGTCGGGGCCTGAGGGCGCCATGCGCACCGTCGTTCCTCCTCTCTTTCCTCCGCCTCTTCCTTCTCTTCGTCCTGTTCGTTTCTCCTCGACCCCTCCTGCTCCTCCCCTCTTCCTCCTTCTCCTCCTCCTCCTCCTCCTCCTGCTCCTCCCTCGCCTCCTCGGCCTCATCCTCCTCTTTCTCTGGGACCGACCTGTGGTAGTAACAGGCCTACTCCGTGGGGGAACGCGGGTCGTGAGACGAGCAGGATTGCAAGGACGATGAGCCCAGTGCTTCGACGTCATGATTTTTGTTCACAGCGAGGTCCCCTAGACATGCTCCCTGGGACCAGCTTCTCCTCCCGAGTCTCAAGACGTTTTTCGACGTTCCCCGAGCGCGAGTTGGGACTCAGGGGTCAACAATCGCCAACACCCTCCCCTCGACGGGCGCGGGGGCTGAGGGTGAGAAGGAGGCCGGGGAATCCTAGGGTCGGAGTAGGTGGGGGTCGGAGCATTTCGCAGTATCGTCGAGGCATCGCAATGCGGCTCGATGTGGAGCTCGATGCTCTCCACGCCGACAGTGCCTATACATCGGCGGCGTCACTGGTGCATCGCGATGCATCGGCGATGCATCGGCGATGCGGTACGATCCTCTGACCCCATCTGCTCGACCCCCCTTTGGGAGGCCTCTAGGGGTGGGGGGGGCGGGAGGACGGGGCCAGGAAACTGGGGGTAGCGTCGGCAGTATCCGAATGTATTTGTAAAGAACGGGACGAAGCCCAACACCAGTCGAAGCGCTGGAGTGGAAGTCCAAGACCCCGGATGGAAAGCAAACGTGCAAGCAATAACCTCTTACAGTAGACGCATGCGATGATGCTTCTAAGAAGTGTCCGCCGTCCATCTTCAACCCTAGGACTTCTGCGGACCCCTGGGACCGTTCGCAGTCTGCGTCGACGCGGCCTTCCCAACAGCGGCCGATACCAGTTCTGGAGAACTTCCGCCTTTGGGCATCCTGCCATGTTGTCTCGGGCTTCTCGAAGGGTGAGCACAGGGGGCCGGGAGATGGCGGGGGCGGAAGGTTTGGCCGGGCATGGGAGATGGGGGGAGGGACGGGGGAGGCGGCGGTCAGGGGCACCGTTAGGGGGGGGGCTGGCCAGAGGTGGAGGCATTAGCCCCCCTGTCGCCCATGCATCACGGCAAAGGGCCATGTCGCCCACCCCGCCCAGGAGCCTCCGGCTTTGCCATCGGGGGCTTGTTGCCGGTGGCTCGGCGAGGTATCGTCGACTCCGGCTCGCCGCTTCCTCCCCTGAGCCAGCCCCTCCCCCTGATTCGGGCGATCGCAAACATGGATCAAGGGGGCGTGGATTAGCGACGGACCCCGTTTCCATGGGAAAGCGCGGATTCCCGCCGCCGAGCGGGGCGGCGCCAGCCGCCTTTTGGGGAGGGCCCCTCTCCCCCGATCCATGGATCTGGCGACCGCGCGCCGGATCCATGGATCGGCATAATCCATGTTTGCGCGCCCCGGGCTGATGGCTCCCCCCTGGGAGGGGGGGGGCGGGGAGCGAGGTGCGGGGCCGCCCCTTTGTCCCCCGCGAGGTGCGGTGCGCCGAGACCGGGCGCGGGCGGCCCGGGCATGGGCGCGGGCCCACTGGGCAGGGGCGGGGGCGGCAAAGGGCCTCCCACGGGGATGATGGGCGGCCCCATGGGCGGCGCGGGCAAGGGCTGCGCGGGGAAGGCACCGCGTGGAGGGTGGGGGGGGTCCGAGGCGGAAATTTATACATGACCACCGCCTGGAGGGTCAGTTTTCGGAGCTTCGGCAGGCATTGGATATGGACAGATTCGGGCCCCTGGGGGGCGAAATACATCCATATCCACCGCCCGCTGGGGCACCAGGACGTCGGTTCCCAGGCAGTGGATATGGATAAATCCCTGCCTCGCAGGGGGGCGAGCGCGTTTGCGGGGGTTGGGGGGCTTTTGGTGGGGGGGGCACCGTCGCGGTCCCCTCCTCCCTTCCCCGTCCTCTGCCCCCTCACGGGCGGGGGGGGGGCTCCTTTTCCTCTCCCCCTCCTGGGCCTCCCCCCCTTCCTTCCCGACGATTGCCCCAAGATCCCCCTCTCCACTTACTCCCCTTCCGCACCGCCCTCTCGGACCTGCCTATCTGAAGGTGGGCCTACCAGTCCTTGGTGCTCCACGCGCCCCGCGCCCCCCCTTCTCACATCCGCTGCAGTGGGGCAGACAAAACACCGTTCTCGTCCGTGTCAGGTCGGGATGGTTTCGGATGAAGTCGGTCTCGCTCTTTCGCCTCATCGGCAACACGCGCCACGTGCTAATTGGCGGCGCTGCGATTAGCACTCCTACGAGCTCCTGGCTGAGTGGCCCGAGAAACATCTTAACGCTGGCATCCCCGCGTGCTCACACCACGCTTCTCTACGCTGATCCGCTTCATTTCCAAGCTCTTGGCTGCCTCACTTCCTCTTGCCTCATCGAGCTTGATTTGGGAGCTCAGGCGCTTCGCCTGTAAGCTCCGTTGACGACCGCAATCGCTCCTGAACAGACGGGCAACGATGTCGTCAGTTTGTCACGCAACAATGGATACTTCTCCGACTGGCTGGTCACGGTCATGGATACCAGGGTATCGGTGAACCGTTTATGTGTACAATGCACACACACACTTACACACATCTACACACATACCCACTTGCACACACACACACAGACACACACACACACACACACTTGCACACACAGACACATTCAGACACACACACACACACACTTGCGCTTGCACTCGCACGCGCATTCACACACACACACACACTTGCGCTTGCTCTCGCATACGCATGCACACATGCACACAAAACACACACATACATTTGTGTATATCAGAGTGAGGGGGCCGAACGGTCATTCACTGTCCCTGGGTGCGTGGCTGATGTGGAATTCCGCGGTGCGGATTCTTGTTGTTGGTGTTGTTGTTTGTTGTTGTTGTTGTTTGTTGTCGTCGTCCCACCCGCAACCCGCCCCGCGACCCACCCGCGACCCACCCCGTGACCCACCCCGCGACCCACCCGCGACCCACCCGCGACCCACCCGCGACCCACCCCGCGACCCACCCCGCGACCCACCCCGCGACCCACCCCGCGACCCAACCCGCGACCCACCCCGCGACCCCCCCGCGGCCCACCCCGCGACCCACCCGCGACCCACCCGCGACCCACCCGCGACCCACCCGCGACCCACCCGCGACCTACCCCGCGACCCACCCGCGACCCACCTTCGACCCAAACCACGTTCAAGGTACAAACCACAATTTTCGGCGCCTGCGGCGGGCTTTTTTGCATTCCTTCCAAGTGGAGAGCCCGCGACACATCCCGTGACCAACTCGCGACCAACCCGCGACCCAAACCACGTTCAGGGTACAAACCACATTTTTCGGCGCCTGCGGCGGGCATATTTTGCATTCGTTTCAGGTGGAGAGCCCGCGGCCCACCCGCGACCACGTTCAGGGTACAAACCACATTTTCGGCGCCTGCGGCGGGCATCCTTTGCATTCGTTCCATGTGGAGAACCCGCGGCCCACCCGCGACCCAAACCTCGTTCCGTGTACGAACCAATTTTTTTGGCGCTTGCGGCGGGCTGCTTTTGCATTCCTTCCAGGTGGAGGTGGAGAGCCCGCGACCCACCCGCGACCTAAACCACGTTCACTGAACAAACCAATGCCGCACAAGCGCGGCGGCGGATTCTTGCATGCCGTCTGAGCCCGCAAGGACCTCTTCACGCCCCGCACATCCACGCCAGCCCGTCCAGCAACTTTGCCCTGGCGAGTTGCCTTGATCAGAGAAGGCGGGGAGCATAAAGTGGAAAAAAGATTGCGTTGCAGTTATCTTGGGAAAGGAGGGGGAGGCAGGATGAGTAAACAGGGGACGAGGAGAACGTGGAAGAAGAGAGGATGTAAGGAGAACGTGGAAAAAGAAAAGGAGGAGGAGCAGGAGGACGAGGGGGAGGAGGGGGAGGAGGGGGAGGAGGAGGACGAGGAGGGGGAGGGTGGGGAGGATGATGATGATGGACGACAATGGGAGGACGATGATGGAGGCCGATGAGGGGGAGGACGACAATGGGAGGACCATGATGAAAAGACGAAGGGGGGGAGAGGGAGGACGAGGAAGAAGAGGAGGAGGAGGAGGAGGAGGACGAGGTGGAGGAGGAGGAGGATGACGATGACGATGAGGACGAGGAAGAGGAGGAGGAGAAGGAGGAGGAAGAGGAGGAGGAGGAGGAGGAGGAGGAGGTGGAGGAGAGCGCCATCGACAAGAAGGTGGGGGCCACGATATCCACCGGCTCGACGACGCCCGCGTCGCCCGCGCCCGCCCCCTCACTCTTATCCGCAATTGCGGGGTGCTACGTATTTACACATACAACTGGGGACAGGGTCCGGGCGCCATGACCCCTACCGCAAATGTGGGGCCCTGCGCGCCGGGAGCCTTGCCGGAGTGCTGGGGGCCGTCCAAGATTCTGCACGAACGAGACGGGCACGGAAAGAATGGGTACAATGCCCAACAGCAGTTCCTGTTCATTTTGAACAGGACTCGCTGTCCGCGCCGCCGCGGCCTGTGCCCATTCGAGACAGAAGGCCGCCTGCCCAACAGCGGCCGCTGTTGGTTTGGGACAACATTTGTTGTTGGGCATTGTACCCATTCTTTCGGTACCCATTTCGGGTGTCCAAAAAGATCGCCCGAAGATGGCTTCGGAACGCTCGAAAACGCGCTCCGATGGCTCCGGATACCTTTCAAGACGACTCCCATGACGCCAAGAAGGCCCCCGATGGCCCCGAAGACGCCCCAAGAGGCACCCCGAAGAGCCCCAATAAGCAATCATCGTCGGTTTCCTATAGGAAGTCTGATATGTTTGGCGTGTTCGCCTTCTGGGCTTCCGCTGCGTCCAAGACGGCGCAAGAGGCACCCAAGCCGGTCGAGGATGCCCCCAAGAGGGCCCCAAGACGGCCCACGAGGCGCCCAAGCCGCCCAAGAACGCCCGAAGGCGGCGCCCAAGACGGGGACGAGGAAGAAAAAAATTGCATTTTCGGGCCCAAGAGACCCCCAGGAGACCCCAAGAGGCTCCAAGAAGCGCCCAAGAAGCCCCAAGAGGCCCCCAACAGACCCCTCCGTAGCCATTTTGGCTCAAGAGCAGCCGTCTCGGTTTCTAGCCCTGCGCTGCCGCGGGGCAGCACGAATCCTGCCATCACCGTCGGGATTTGTGCCATGGGATCCAGGGAGGTTCGGCTGCCGTCGGCGGCTAGTCAATCAACGGTAGAGAGCTATGTTTCCCGCATGGCCTCGAAGCTGCCCGCGCACTTCGCCTTCGCCACACTGATGCCGTGGAGTTCGCCGCAGCGACCCGAGAAGGTCGTCACACCAGACTCTGCCCCTGAAGGCCACTGGGACGCAGAGGAGATCGCGTCCGTGGCGTCCGAGTGCACCAACTTGCGCTGGTGCCATGCACGTTCGAGACGCGGTACGAGAAGCGCACGATGAAGAAGTTGCTGGAGCTGCTCGAGCCGTACGAGGACTGCTGCGTGTTCCTGCTGCAGCTGCTTGAGGTCACCGGTGAAATGAGCCGGGAATACGTGACGACGGTCATGGCACGCCACGACGCACTCTTGGCCGTCGGTGCCAACGCGGTGGTGCTGGATCCCAGTGACAATGCAGACCACCTGCGCCAGATACTCGACCAGGAGCGGGCTTGGTTCGAGGCGAATGCGAAGCGTGCAAATTCGATGGTCGTTTGCAACGACGACTATTTCCAGCGTGTGCTGGAGTATCACCATGAGCTGCTATGGGAGAGTGTTCCAAAATCGCTGATGCCCAAGTTCGACCCCATCGATCGCAACCTCGTTGAGACGGCCAACAGGGTGGGCGACTTCCAGCTGACCAATCGATATAAAACAAGGAACGGCAACGTACTGCTTGCCAGTAAGTGCCAACCCGATGAAGCTGTCATCAAGGTCTACGACAAGTCGGACCACGTGTCTGCTGGAGACCTGGAGTGCATCTATCGCGAAATACGCTTCTTGAGGGACGTGCTGAGGCACCCGAACATCGTCCGTTGCACCCACATGCTCCATAGCTTCTCACGGGTGTACTTGTGCCTCGAATTCGGGGGCATGCAGAATTTGCACCGGCGCCTCTTGGACCAGCCAGGATACCGCCTCGACTTGGAGGATGCTGTGGAATGCACAATGCAGATAGCAGGAGCGCTGGCCTACTGCCACTCACGGGACGTCGTGCACAGACAGGTCTCTCTGGAGCACATCATCTTGGAGGACCAGTCTCACAAGCCATTCTGCCGCCTGGTGGACTTCCACCAGGCGACGCACTGCCCAGAGTTGACGCCGTCGTCCACGCAGTGCGGAGAACTGCCGTGCATCGCCCCGGAGGTGGCCCTGGACGAGTCGTACCTCGCCAAGCCTGCGGACTGCTGGAGCCTCGGGGTGGTGCTCCTGGAGGCGGCCGGGGGCTTGGGGTCAATGAGGCAGGCGGTCGGCTGGCCGGAGGAGGCGGAGCTGGAGCCCGCCGCTAGAAGGATCAAGAGCTTCTTCTCCACCAGCGGCAGCCACGCTCGCGCACTGGCGGTCATGGGCGGCGTGCGCAGCGAGGCGGTGCTGGACACGCTGTCCGCACTCCTCACGGTCGAGCCCACGGCTCGGGCGACCATGGCCGCCATCACGAAGTCTTCCGCCTAGCCCTTGGGCGCCGCGGAGAAGGCCGTGTCGCAGGGAGAGCGGGCGCAGCGGTAGGCGTGCGCCAGAGCGGAGACCAACATTCTGTCGGGAGCCTTGAGGGCGTCCCCGATTCTGCCTGAGCACTGAGCGGCCGAGCCCTGTGTTCTGGGCTGGCTGGGTAGGCCATCGGGAGGGCGCGTGCGCCAGTCCAGGGGAGCGGGAACAGGGTATTCTGCTTCAGTCATGCCATGCTCAGCCCTGGACTCATCAGGGTAGGTCTGCAGTGGCCGTCCATGCACTTCCATGTGCTCGAAGCTATTGCCAAGCTGTCTCTCCAGCCGCAAGGCTGAAATACTCTGACATGCCATATCTAGCTGGGGGCCAGACTGTTGCATTCAGACTTCTGCCAGGACGACTTCAGAATGCGAGCGGACGCTTGCACTCCCAGTCATGCCTGTAACTATTGACAGGTATGTAGTCGGAGGTCGGGGGGGGAGATCGCAGCGGAGCGGAGCAGACAGAGAACCAGAGAGAGAGAGAGTGGGCTGATTTGCTCGTTGACTGGTCTTGGGGCTGCTATTATTTGTCCCAGACTCGTGAGACTACAGCCACATAATTTTTCTCCTCCAGTGATATGGCGCTTTCACCTGCCTACCGCAGCTTGGGTTTGGATGACCACAGGCTGCGCTTCGTCCTGATCAGGGCTCTCGTGCTTGCGAAGGCCTGACGGCCGGTGCCGCCGACCCTGTTCGCAATGCGCAGCAAGAGGCACGGGCTGTGGGATGGTTTGGGGGAACGGGGAGAAGGACGAGAAGGTGGGGGAGGGAGGTGTCGTATCTGACCCGGGACTTCCCGGGACTCCCCTGGGACCCCCCCCGGGACCTCCTCTCCCCCCCCCGTCGGGGAAGGGAAAGGGAAGGGGCTTCCCTTCGACTCAATGACGACGTTGCTCAAGGTCGGTACGGGGGGGGGGCGTCGTATCTGACTCGGGGGGGGGTCGCTACCCCCCCCGCTACCCCCCCCCCCTCCCGGCGGGGGAGGAATGAAAGGGAAGGGGCTTCCCTTCGACTCAATTACGAGGTTGCTCAAGGTCGGCTTGGCTGGAGCCCAGGGGAAGAGGAGTCCCAGGGGGGGGCGTCGTATCTGACCCGGGGGGGGGGTCGCTACCCCCCCCCCCCTCCCGGCGGGGGAGGGATCAAAGGGAAGGGGCTTCCCTTCGACTCAATTACGAGGTTGCTCAAGGTCGGCTTGGCTGGAGCCCAGGGGAAGAGGAGTCCCAGGGGGGGGCGTCGTATCTGACCCGGGGGGGGGGTCGCTACCCCCCCCCCCTCCCGGCGGGGGAGGGATGAAAGGGAAGGGGCTTCCCTTCGACTCAATTACGAGGTTGCTCAAGGTCGGCTTGGCTGGAGCCCAGGGGAAGAGGAGTCCCAGGGGGGGGCGTCGTATCTGACCCGGGGGGGGGGTCGCTAAGGAAAAACTCTTTTTCCCGGCAAACTCGACTTTTTCCCGGCAAACTGGACTGTTTCCCGGCGATCCGTTTCAGAAGCATTTAAAGCTTTTGAAAAGCTTTACAGAGTTCCCTCCGACGACGGACCCTGGAACCTCCGACGCGGCCGCCTTGGGGCCTCCTTAGGCCCCCTTGGGGCCTCCTGAGGCCATCTTGGGGCCTCCTTAGGCCCCCTTGGGGCCTCCTGAGGCCATCTTGGGGCCTCCTGAGGCCATCTTGGGGCCTCCTGAGGCCCCCTTGGGGCCTCCTGAGGCCATCTTGGGGCCTCCTGAGGAGCCGCTTGGGGCCCCCTGAGGCCTTCTTGGGGCCTCCTGAGGAGCCGCTTGGGGCCCCCTGAGGCTGTCTTGCGGTCTCCTGAGGAGCCGCTTGGGGGTCTCCTGAGGCTGTCTTGCGGTCTCCAGAGGAGCCGCTTGGGGCCTCCTGAGGCTGTCTTGCGGTCTCCTGAGGAGCCGCTTGGGGCCTCCTGAGGAGCCGCTTGGGGCCTCCTGCGGCTGTCTTGCGGTCTCCTGAGGAGCCTCTTGGGGTCTCCTGAGGAGCCTCTTGGGGCCTCCTGAGGAGGTATCAGGGTATATGGGGTTATCAGGGTAAGGGGTTACAAGGGTTAGAGGGGTCACAGGGGTTTGGGGGATTAGAGGGGGGGTCAAAGGGGTTAGAGTGGTTAGAGGGGTTACAGTGGTTAGAGTGGCCTTGCGCCATCGCTGCGTGTTTCAGAATGGAGCGGTGGGGAACCGAAAGCGCGAGAATCTCAAATTCTGGACCACTCGAGGCATGTCGGCAGCATGCCTCAAGTGGTACCGAAGAAGTACGTCTTGAGGCATGTCCGTTGTATGCCTCAAGCAGTACCGATCAGGTATCACTTGAGGCATGTCGGCAATATGCCTCAAGTGGTACCCAATGTATGTGTGTCGGGATCTCGTGTTACGCCTTTCGGGGGTCTTTGGGAGGCAGTTTTGAAGCCTCTTGGGGGCCGTTTTAGGGCCTCTGGGAGTTTTGTTGGGGGCCTCATGGGGGCTTCTTGGGGGCTGCTTGGGGCTTCTTGGGGGCCTCTTGGGGGCCTCTTGGGGGCCTCTGGGGGCCTCTTGGGGCACTCTTGGGCCCCCCTGGGGCTCCTGGGGGCGGAAAGTTTGATTTTTTGAATTTTTTGTCGCCCTCTTGGACCCCTCTTGGTGCCGTCTTGGAGCCCTCTTGGGCCGTCTTGGAGCCCTCTTGGGCCGTCTTGGGGCCGTCTTGGGCCGTCTTGGGGCCGTCTTGGGGTTCTCTTGGGCCCTCTTGGGGCCGTCTTGGGGGCCTCTTGGGCCGTCTCAGAGCGTCGGGAAGCCGAAAAGGCGAAAAAGCAAAAAACATCGAAAAACACAATGGGAAATCAACAATGTTAGCCTCTTGGGGCCCTCTTGGGAGGCCTCTTGGGGGCCTCTTGGGCCGTCTTGGAGGCCTCTTGGCCCGTCTTGGGGCCATCTTGGGCGTCTTGGAGCGCTCTTTGGGCGTCTCGGGCCCCTCTTGGGCCGTCTTGGATGCCTCTTGGGGCCCTCTTGGCACGTCTTGGGGCCTTCGTGGGCCCGAAAAAGTCACGCGGCCAGCTGCGACAAGGCCCAAGGCAGCTGCGACAAGGCCCAAGGGAACCGCGACAAGGCCCGGGAGATTTTGCAATTTGGGCTCTGGTGCCCTTAATGATTCCTCAGGAGCGAGGACTCAGGCTCAGGGGACGAGGCAGAGGACCTCAGGAAACGCCCACTCCGTGCCCAGAGGCACGGTGGCGGATAACCAGTAGTACGTCTACCTGGACGGTTTTTGACATCGCTTACGAATACTTCTGCTTTTACTACCACTAATCTTTCCACTACTACAACTACTATTCGTAATCTCACTATCCTTAATACAATCACTCCTAGTAGTACTAATCCACTAACCCTACTACTACTACTGCTACTACTACTACTACTACTACTACTACTACTACTACTACTACTACTACTACTACTACTACTACTACTACTACTACTACTACTACTACTACTACTACTACTACTACTACTACTACTACTACTACTACTACTACTACTACTACTACTACTACTACTACTACTACTACTACTACTACTACTACTATTACTATTACTACTACGACGACTACTACTACTACTACTACTACTACGACTACTACTACTACTACTACTACTACTACTACTACTACTATTACTACTACTATTACTATTCCAAACACTGCGAGGAGTAGTGCTACGGCGAAGGCCGCACGACACAAGTCAACCACTGGACTCTTTCCCGGCTAGGATCTGCGCAGCGGGAGTTGGAGACCCTTAAGGTGATAGTGGGATTTTCGGAAATCCATGCTTCAAGCTTCCATACAAAAACTAAGCAAACTGGACTCTTTCCCGGCGGAGCGCCGGGGAAAAGTCCAGTTTGCCGGGAAAAAGCCCAGTTTGCCGGGAAAAAGTGGACAACCGGTCGCTACCCCCCCCCCCCCTCCCGGCGGGGGAGGGATCAAAGGGAAGGGGCTTCCCTTCGACTCAATTACGAGGTTGCTCAAGGTCGGCTTGGCTGGAGCCCAGGGGAAGAGGAGTCCCAGAGGGGGGGCGTCGTATCTGACCCGGGGGGGGGGGTCGCTACCCCCCCCCCTCCCGGCGGGGGAGGGATCAAAGGGAAGGGGCTTCCCTTCGACTCAATTACGAGGTTGCTCAAGGTCGGCTTGGCTGGAGCCCAGGGGAAGAGGTCTCCCAGGGAAAGGGAAGGACAGAGACGACGAGTACAAATAATGACGGAGATGACGGCTCGAACGGAAAAGCCCCTCACACACGCCGACATGGTCGGCGGATTTGTCCCAGACTCGTGAGACTACAGCCACATATTTTCTCTCCTCCAGTGATATGGCGCTTTCACCTACCAATCAGCTTGGGTTTGGATGACCACAGGCTGCGCTTCGTCCTGATCAGGGCTCTCGTGCTGAGCGTTTTTGCGATGCGGTACCGCGATAATGACAGAGAGGGGAAGGAACAGGAGGGGTTGAGGTGGACCAGAAGAGGGAGGAGGAGGAAACGGAGGAGGCGTGACGCGGATGTGCGGCGCGCAAAGGTACCGCTTTGGCGGTCTCCAGAGCGGGAGCGAGAGCTCCCACAGCGGGGTGATTCGTGCAAGCGTCCCTCGAATAATTCGCTCGCGAGCTCGCACCGGAATGGCTCATTTTTCAACCCGCGTCGCGTCTGCTTGGTCCTTCCGTCAGTTCCCCTCCCCGTTTGCCGCGATCCCCCCCGCCTCCTCTTCCCTTCCTTCCTCGCGCATGTGATCTGTTAGGGGCCGCCCGCGGGTGCCTCTCGGAGTGGCGGCCTGCTGTCGCTGCGGCCATTGTTTTCGTCGTTAGGATTTGTTCGGGACGCTGCCGCGTCCGTTCATTTTTTCTCCCCCAACGATCCATTTAGGGACTGTGTCTCTCGAACGCACTGTTGACTTGACCGCCGACCCGCCGTTTGGATGCGCGGGTCGAAAAAAAAGAGGCCCCCAA